TTTTTTTTTTTTTTTTTTTTTTTTTTTGAGGAGCCTCTAATCGTTGCCGCTCCTGTCCTCGTTGATCTCGAACAGAATCACCACCAGCGCAACTATGAACGCATAGTCCACGTTGGGATACACCGTCACTCCGAACGTGTCTTTATCGAACAGCACGCTCTGCAAATTGTGCTGCCTGTGCATCTGCGAAATGAATGAACTAGACTAAGCGAATGGCGGGGTTAATTAAGAATGAAATTTGTTGGGATACCTGGGCGATGATGGTGGAGCCGTCCCCAAGGGAAATGGTGCAAGATCTCTCCAGCCAGCTTCCTTTGATCTTAAAATCACAGCTGCTCTCCGAGGTGTTCGAGGCCAATATCACATCCAGCTGAGTCCTCAGTTGTAAGATCGACGATTTCTTCACCGTGAACAACAGATCTTTCGAATCGGTGCTATCTCCTCTGAATGCGTACCATTTTCTATGCGCCGAAAACAGCTGTGGGTAAAACAATTATTCATACACCACACATCTAATCCGTTTATTCATTCAACATATCCGATTTAATTTTACCTTTTGTTGGAAAGAGATGATGGGATTACCGGCGGCGTCAAGAAGAATACGGCGATCGTGAAGGCTGAACACGGACCCTTTCACCATGAACATCACGGTGCCGTTAACGTCCGTCACGGTGAAAGTACCTTCCGCCAGGGTCATCACCTTCTTCGTAACTCTCAGATCCACGGGATAGGGCGCCATGAACTGGGGGCTTACCACGGCCACCGGCTTCGCCAGCGGCGCGTAATTCGTCGGTGCCGGCAAGTGAGACGTCGTCGGATTGGCCATTAATTGCTTAATTTTATTTGAGAAGAGGAAAGGGGAGGATTAAGCTGTGTGGATCTGTGGCTCTTCCCTTCGCTTGTTTCGGGGACGTGTTGGCTTCCCGTGCCATATGGAATATGTATATATAATACGTGTATCCCACCATTATTTATTTATTTATTTTATCTTGTTGTAATAAAAGTCAAATTCGTACAACTGACCTGGCATTATCATTTTGTCACCCACAAAACACACATCAAATAGATATTCGCTTAGGGAGTGTCCCCCATACCTTTCCAACCATTCATAATTCAAATATCAGTTAATAATTGTAAGATAAAATATCAAAATTATTTTATTATTTTTGCATTTGAACACGTTTTCATCTATGGTTGAATATTTATTGAGTATTGATTCATCATGGCTGAATCCAATTTTAGAGTTCACGTCAACTTTGAATTAAGGTGATGATGAATTGTTAATAAAAATGTATGAAAAGAAGCCATAAAATATGAGGTCAACCAATTATAGGCAAGTTCTTACCAATTACAAATCAGGAAATAAGATAAATATTGGAGAGAGAAAGTCATTTATTTATTAAAAAAAAAAAAAAAACACAAAGTCGATGCGGACTTATTGTTGGTATTATAAATTGGGTTCAGACGCCGAGAGAAAGGGAAGCAACTACTTGGTCGTGGGATTGGTGAAGGGTTGGCTTTTCAATATGTAAGCTTACAAAGTTGGACATCTTTTGTTTTGTTCTTTCCATTTGAAGTTATACAATACTCATGTAGTCTTTATTTTGTAGATTAATATTTCTGCACTAAGCTTTTAATTATAAAAGTCATCGTTGTCTTCTCCCTCTCTACGGGTTACAAAAGAAAAAAGAAGTTAAATGGGCTTAGGTTTTGGGCTTTTTCTAACCTGGTTGGGTTGGGTTGTTCTTTATAAGCCCATTAACACAACCCAGCCCAACACTGTCAGACTTATTATCGAGGTAAATGGCTGTAATTACCCATGCCTCTTACGAAATTATATCTTAATTTGTTGTTAGTAAGATTTGTATGCTTTGTGAGCTGTGTCCACTTTCCTGTTTGTTCGAGAATGGAAAGCATCAGAGTTGTGAAGAGGAGCGACCACTTCCTCAGAAAACACAGGAAGTGGCCATTTTCACCCTTCAAAACCAAATGGCATCAAACATTCAATCAGGATGAAGCTTTGCGAGCCATAAAACAAGCTGCAAATTCGCCGAAACAACCCAATTCCGACGAACCCTACCTTCTTTCGGTTCTTATAAGCTCCTTCAGAGCCTATTGCTGCGACCCAACCCCCAATGCCTACCACTTCGTCCTCAAAACCCTTGCTCGAAGCTCCCAGTTCCACTACATTGCCGCTGTTCTCGATCGTCTCGAACGCGTCGAGAAATTTGAAACCCCAGAGTCAATTTTTGTCGACCTCCTCAAAGTTTACGGACGAGTCAACCGAATTCAAGATGCCATCACTCTTTTCCGTAGGATTCCCATGTTTAGGTGCGTTCCTTCTGCGCTCTCACTCAACTCTTTACTTTTCCTGCTCTGTAGAAATGGCGAAGGTCTTCGAATAGTTCCTGAGATCATATTGAGTAGCCAGACTATGGGTATTAGGCTTGAAGAGTCCACTTTCCGGATACTAATTACCGCGTTATGTAAAATTTATAAAGTTGGGCATGCAATGGAGCTTTTCAATTATATGATAACTGAAGGGTATGGTCTAAACCCTGGAATCTGCTCTTTGATATTGGCATCGCTATGTGAGCATAAGAAATCCACTGGTAATGTGGTTCTTATCTTTCTGGAACAAATGAGGCTAAAAGGATTCTGTCCCCTTGTTGTGGATTATTCTAATGTAATTAAGTTCTTGGTTAGGAGAGGGTTGAGTTCAGACGCTCTTGATCTGTTGAATAAAATGAAGGCCGATGGTTTCAAGCCTGACATTGTTTGTTATACTATGGTCTTGAATGGGGTGATTGCGGATGGGGATTATAAGATGGCAGATGAACTGTTTGATGAATTGCTTCTCTTTGGTTTAGTTCCTGATATTTATACATACAACGTGTACATACATGGATTATGCAAACAAGGCAATTGGGAAGCAGGGATTCAAATGATTTTGCATATGGAGGAATTGGGGTGCAAACCTGATGTGATCACTTACAATATTCTCTTGGAATGTTTGTGTAAAATCGGTGAACTTGATGAGGCAAGGAAGCTTCGAGGTAACATGCAACTAAAGGGTCTGGCAAACAACGTGCGGACTTTTAGGATTATGATCAGTGGGTTATTTCATAACGGTGATGTAATTGAAGCTTGTATCCTATTGGAGGAAATGCTAGTAAGTCGTTTCCCTCCTCAGATCTCAACTTTTGGTGAGATACTTTCTTGGTTGTGCAAAAGGGACATGGTAGGCAAAGCACTTGAGCTGCTCACGTTAATGGTTGGCATGAACTTTTCCCCTGGTCCTAAGGCTTGGGAAACACTGCTCCTGAGCTCTGAAAGTGAATTAACTCCTGTTAAGAGCCTTGAAACTACTTTAGAAGATTTAGGAGGCATCTGAACAAGCTCAACCCCCGCAGATTTTGGAGTCCTTAATCTATACAAGTCCTCAAGGCTACGCTGCTACGCTTGAACTGATCTTCATTTTGTTCTTTAATGGACTAGCCTTTGTTTCACCCTACTCTCAATAAGGTGAGGGCAACAGGTATGGTCAAATGCTGTTATTCCCTTGCATAATCTACAAAAGATCCTTTTCATGAGAAAGCAATATTTCTCGGGCAAGATGGAGTGTTTGCTATTTTATGGGGTGTTTGGAGCGAGTGGAATAATATAATCTTCTTTTTCAGGGGTCAAAAGAGATTCTCCAGTGATGTTTGATCCCTTGTTAGATTCTTTGTTACTCGTTGGGTCTCGGTGACAAGGTCTGTTATAATTACCCTATAGGTTTTATTTTACTGGATTGAAGCCCCATTTGCATAGTACGATTTCCTTTTGTGGGCCTTATTTTTGTATGCTCTTGTATTTTTTTCTTTTTTTTCTCAATGAAAGTTGAGTTACTTTTTTTAAAAAAAAGAGTTACAAGATTGTACTGTGGTGGTTCTTTAAATCAACGAATTGTGCTTCAAGTTTATTTAGATTGATTAGAGTGCAAGAATGTTTCTATGCTGGGCAGGTATTGCAATGACAACTTCGTTTGAGCTAACTGCTGGTGTTGTGGTAAAAGGAGAGCAGCACCCTTCAACTTCAGGGGCTGGTTAAAGCTTACTTATTCTGATGGCGTAACTGTAAGTGGATGCTTAATCAATGCTTACTTTTTTATCGAGCCAAATTATAAATTTTCATTTTCATAGCACGTAATGCACTTTTTAACTTTCCCCATATTTTTTGTTATCAAAGATGATCCACTCGAGCATTATTTATTAATGTTTTTTCACAATACTTTGCTCTACTGTAAGGATGGCATATTTAATCCTACGCTGTCTATATAGTGGAAACTTTCGCTAGCTTGGCAAGAAAATGAGCATGTTATCTGATCCTAATTGATTAGTCTGCTTTAAAGTATATTAAGTGATATGGATCTACGAACCCAAGCTAATACAATCCTGCTATCATGTCGTTGTCGACTGGCACAGATGAGATGAGTGTCATTCTGGAATCTTCTAGTTAGTGGTTGTTTTCAATTAGATATATCATATATTTAGTATGAAAGAGCGGTGGGGAGTGATGAGGATGTTCTACCATTTTAGTTCAGATAAATAAGGATCAAACTTATCTGATCCTGCATGCGGTCAAGGTCAATCTCAAGTTTTTCGTCTTTGATATGGCCACAGGACTTCATTTTCCTTGTATTCTTCTACAAGAAATAGTTGATTGTTTTTGAACCAAAGGCCGGTTGCTAATGAATTTGAACTTTTGAAAGTGCCTAGATATTAGATCAGATCAGCTAAAGTTCCTTTGGGTTATTGGGTCTACATGCGTGCAAGAAAGTTGAACTTAGAACTTTCTAGTGGGAGTTAAGTAAATTGGATCTCCTACCTCATTAGGGAGTCCCTGGGAATGGATTCTTTTTCCTTGTAAAAAGAATTGGTGTGAAGAATGGTCAGCTTTCAAATTTGGGCTGAAAAGGGGGATTTTAAAGGTTAAACCTTATGTAGGATAATGTTTTTGTACAAGCAGTTGGGTTCTCTTCAGGAATAGTGTCAAACACCTGATCTCTACTTCTTGTAATAACGTTTTTCAAAAAACCATGAAAAATGTATTTGACAAGTAAATGTTTTGTGTGAAGTTGGTTTTAGAAAGGCCTTAATTTTGGAATAATTTTATTGTTTACAGAAATGACAAAGACGCAAATGGATAGCAGGAATAGTTGCATTGTAACTTTGAACAGTATCGAATCCTCTTTTTAAACACAACTGCATAAAAAACTTCTGAAAATAGTTCCACATGGAAATCACTCAAAACCATATCTTAAGTTGATTCTACGTAGCTTTTAGTTGGTTTGGTAAGAAAACGAAAAAGAAGTGAGAAAGCTTTTTTAGTTGGTACCAATAGGATGAGAAGAAACTTTTTTATTTTTATTTTTCTTGAGGGCAGCTCCTAGTTGAATCTCAATCCCCATCTACTTTTGACGATCTCTGGAGTTCCACTAATGGAAGTTGGAAGCTGTTGTGGAATTAAAATATATATTCGAACGAACCTTACATAATCCTAACATATTGGTAACTAGAAAAACAAGAAATCTAGGATTTCTCTATTTAATATTCTAAGGCCCTACACAGTTGGCTACACTAGAAGGGTGGGATGTCTTTATTCCTAGTGGCTCAACACAAGTCATTACATGAAAAGAAAAAATGAAAAAAAAAACATAAACGAAAGTGAACCAAAAAACTTTCAAACTATCTTATCTTCGGAAAGAGAGATCTCCACAAGGATTTGATAATGATAATACTCATATAGTTGCCAACTTTTCAATTTTGAATTTGCTCAAAAGCCATTTGACTTTTTGTGCTCACACTTTCGTCAAGCTCACATTTCCAAGTATATGATGTCGATACAACTTATGTTAATGTCAGGCTATTAATTAATCACAAATAAGAGTTACGTCTATTTATATTTTTACCTTAACAATTGTCGTTGACCTCTCTTCTGCTTGCATTGCTCCTTTTTACTTTGATATAGTGAACTTTGGCTTTATTGTTGGGATAACTGTTTCAGTGTATGTCTACTGTGGATATCAAGTGGATTAATTCCACATCTATTTTGATTGATGGATGGCAGATTTGATTTGAAATCAGTCAATTTATTTCACTTATTGTGAATTAAGTGAATGAGTGTTTGAGTTTTTGAAGATTGGTTATAATTTACTGTAGACAACCAACCTCGGAGAACCTCTGACTGCACGAGGTCCATAGCACTTGCTGCTTAAACTCAACTGCCAAGAACAGCTATCCTACTTTGAATAGCTTACTACTAGCTATTTAGCTATTAGGTTCAGAACCAGTGACGAGGGGAGGAGAATCTAGCTGTGGTTCTTTGGTTGCAGCACCATCATGCCGAACTACCTGTTTTCCTCTTGGAAAGAGTGCATTCCTTGGAAAAACTTATCGTACATGTACTACTTTGAAGCATCATATTTACAAACATTCTTTTAACACTAGTAGACTTCACGTCATTTTGTTAAAAATGTTGAAATGATGTGAAGATAGTATCCATAGTCCTGAAATCCCTCATGCCCCCTTCATTATTCTTGAATTCATAAATTGTGCAACTCTCAAGGGAATGTTTCTATTTGATTGGGTTTAAAAAGTGTGTTGTTGTTTTCCTTTTATTATCTCCATGGAAGGAGAGGAGTGCGACAGAGTGCATTAAGAGGTGCTCACATGTTAAACGAGAGGGGCGCCCCATGCGGAATAAGTTAAAAAAAAGAGACGCCGAAAGTCCATTGGGAGTTATTTTGAGCGCATGACTGTGAAGATGTTGGGTTAGAAAATGGGATTGCGTCAACAACTTGTAGCTTCTGTTTTTGTATACATCACTTTCATGAAATTTTTAACTTGAATCACAAAGTAGATGTTTGGAAAAGAAGGGATTCCTCCTGAATGAGTCAAAGTTTGTCGTGGCGCGAATCTAGAAGTTTGTGGATCTGTCATAACATAAGCAATCGTGGCAACGCAAAGCTCGAAGTAAGGAAGCCGAGAACTTTGTTATCCCAATTATCTACTCCCACTTTGTCTCTCTTCATTGGGAAATGACAAAATGTGGAGGATCCTTTTCAAAATGCTCACTACTACTACTACTCTTCCACATTTCTTAATCTATTTTTAATCTTTAAATTTACTAAAACATTTTGGCTTTATTTTTTTTATAAAAAAAATGGTGATTCTATGTATATCTTTTTTATAATATTATAGACATGGACGTTTAATTTTGAGTTTGATGCAGGAATGTGTACAAATAAAAGGAACTACGTGTTTATTACTAAATGTATTCATTTTCTTTCTCTATTTGCTTCCTCGACCCTCCCACTTGAATAATAATAAAAGAAAAATCAGAAATTTGGTAGAAAGACTCGTCCCCTTGGGATTCGGATTACCACAAGACGTGGATAAATTGGAGATTAGTCAATGAATCTAATTGAATCACCATACGGCTTCTCGGAATTTCATAAGCTTTATCTTCTCTAAGATGAATTGATTTTTGTTTACAGAAAGGAAAAAATAACGGAAAGGAGAAAAGAGAAAAAAGGAGAAAAAAAAGTTACCTGAAATTGAATATTCTGTTGAGTGAATTTGGATATGCAAAGGTTGCAGTGGTCACGATGGAGAAGACGGGCACATGAACAACCCACTCAGCGGCACCCACGTCGCGTCGCTACACGAGTAAGTAATGCACGTGCCCTGCTTCTCCATCTTGATCGGCACGCACCTTCCTCCTTGCCCTCCCTCGCCGCCGCCTCTCTCCCACCGGAGAGCCACAGACTTTCGGATGCAAATCGCGGAAGTAGCTGCTTTAGCTGCCTTTTTTTGTTATTATTAATTTTTATTTTTTTGGAGCCATATTAATAGCCATAACGTTGGGTCGGGACGTGGAGCCCGCCAGGGATTCCAATTCAAAACTGTCTTCCTCCGCTTAATCACTCCCAGTAAATTAACACTTCAGTGACCTACCACCTCACGCCCAATCCAACTATCCGGCCTTCGCCTTTCATTTGCTCGCCGTCACCGCCCTTTCTTTGCATGTATATATATATACATATCATTTATTATTTTAAACTAAAGTTACCCTTATTGCTTCAAAAGCAAGTTGACATTTTGTTATAATGCCACAATTTTGAACCTAATCAAGATGTTCAACTTCTGGACATTTCAACCACATTATTTGTTTAATGCATCCATATTTTAAGCCAACACTCGTGTAAGAAAAACTATATGAATAGATATTTAAATATGGTTAAACTTAGCCACTGTGATAGGAGGGGGGGACCCCAGATCAATTCAATTTCACCATTTTCTACTTTTCTCCGTCATTAAAACAAAATAGTATTTTTGATCCAAGTCATCTGAATTACGGGCCCATCTAGATTCTCAATTATTTATTGCTGCATATTGCCCAAGCAAATATAGATGAATTTTGATTTCTTTTCTCTCAAACACAATAAAGGATAAAAAAAAACCAAAAAGAAATTTAAATGCCCATTTTTTATTTTAATTCTGGGAAAAAAAATGCTCATATATATCCGCAATGAAGGAAGCGATGGATGAGGACAAGTATTAAATAATTAAATCTATGGTATACATAGCTTCATAGGTATCAAGACTTTGGTCCAGTTCAAGCATAGACTATGGCTACTTATGGCTCCTTATGGTTGGTACAGCTTTCAATCACTGTATTATGAATTACCTTTTTTTTCATTTTAGTACATACGTTTAAACATTTTTAACTCATATTAAATTTGAACAATAAAACAATATTCAGTACTTTTGAAGTGGAATAGTGAATCTCCCATTCACCCGAGTGATTGTACTTTAAAAAAGGAAAAAAAAAAAAAAAGAAAAAAAAAGCTGGAGGAGGGTGTTTGGATGCGGACTATGCAATAGTGGAAATCCACGAGACAGAGCGGAACAAAGACAGCAACAAAACCCAAAACCAAACAGAAACAAAGTGGAAGCATTACAGAAGGGTGTTTTAATTAATAATTAATTTCGAATTAGAGTTCAAAATAATTGATTGTTAATTAAGTAACTCGGAGATCGTAGCTTACCATCCTAATAAACAACTAATTAGTGCTTATTCAGGTGGTTTATTGGTTTAGCGTATAAGTGCGCCAAACTTCCCTTTTACGCTCTTATCCACTAGTTTTTCCTTTATATTTACTCTCATGTTTATTCTCGATTGCAAAGAAAAGAGAAACAAAACATATTTTTATAAAAATATAAAAAAAAATTCTTTAATGGGATGTGTTTTAAAATGGAAAAACACAAAAGTAAAATTAAAAAAGAACGAAATTTATTTAGTGATGAGCTAGGATTATTATAATTGGTAATAAAGTCAGACATTAAACGTTGTGCCAACGAATACCGTGGATCTCAAAAAGATAGAATGTGAAATTCCAGGTCACTTGGATTTTTTTTACTCAAAGTGGTACATTTCTTAATTATTAATTTAATTTTCCTTTATTCTTATTTTTTTCACACACATATATATATATAGAAAACAAAAGGTTTTTTTTAATTTAAAAAAAGGTTATTTGTTTAATTATTTCATAGGAACGGTTGTTTGATTTTACACGTGAGAATAATTGTGTATTATATGGATCGATACTATACCAAATGGCGTTCCCCCCAGCTGCCCAGTCGTGGACTGTCCCCGACCATTTTCACAAATTCAATAAATTGCTATGATTTCTTTTTTTTCCCCCTCCTTTTTTAAGTGAAAAAAGTGAAATGATTTCTGGTGAGTGGCGAACATGATTTGCAATTTTTGTCTAATCACCCGCGAAATCCGGAAATATTATTAATTAAAAAAAAAATCACTAATTCATTGTCTTCTATTTGTAGTCTAGACTTTTCTAAATTTTATATTTACAATAATAATAATAATAAAAATTGTATGCACTTATCCTCGTGCGTATATTTTCGTCAGCGGTATAAATTGTTTAGTACTGAAAATGCTTTTCCCTAGATTCCAAGAAAAGAAAAAATGTTTTTACGTAATTAAATTCAAAGGAGTCAAAGAAATACGCAATTTTTGGCATGTCAACATATGGGGGATAGGTTTCTGTCGCTGTTAGCTCCGGATTGACCGACAGACTAGTTGTTGCTTTGTTAGGTCCTAGGTGGCTGGCGTGGAATGAAAAACTCAGATTGGGCTCTATCCACCACTTCAAAGCCCATATGAAGGCCCAATATAGCCCATTTCAAGCCCATATTTGTTCGGCGGGCTAGGCTTTATCATCTAAGCGCGTTACTACCGAACGGGCCAGAAACTGGGACTGGACAGCTCATAAATTACTCTTAACTCATCTGGTTATATAATATTAATTTATTAGTCTTTTTTTTTTTTTTTTTTTTTTTTTTTTTTTTTTTTTTTTTTTTTTTTTTT